AAGAAAGCCACAGAAGGGGGAATCCTTGCCTTCTCTGATAAAGCACCCATTTAATGTTCCCCAAATTGGCCTGTGGACCAGCTCGTGCGGATTATGTGGCACCTCAGCAAGTGCCGCAACACCTTTTCGGCCTCTCCTTCCGAGATCCATCCTTGGAATATGCAACAACTTGTTCATGAAATAGATGGACTGAGCACTAACATACATACCTTTGTCCACATCCAAGATAATTTGCACCACTTAGGCTTCCGCCAAAGTGAATCCTGAGAGAAATACATTGATTGATTTCCAGCAATGGTGTATTTACCTCGGGCGGTGGATGTATGGATTAGTTTCCAAGAACAGTTGTTACTTCTCCCTCATGAGGGTATTTTAGAATTTGACGGAGGGTGAAGGACACAACCTTCATGTAATGTAACCTGGCCTCCCTAGAAGTAGGTTAAAGGTAGCTGGTACATCAAGTACATGGAAGTCGATCTCATGCTCGAAAGGGCCCACTTGGACTTGCACTTTCACTATCCCCATAACTTCTCTGCTCGTGTTGTCATATGCCCGTATCACCTGGGCTGTGGGGACAAAGTCTACTAGTTTCAAACCTATCGCATAGGCAGTGCGAGAAGGACAAACATTAATAGTAGAACTAGTGTCCACTAAAGCCACTGGCACCCACTTTCCTTTACATTTAATGGATATGTACAATGGCTTGTTGTGAGCTGACCCTTCCGGTGGCAGCTCTTTATTGGAGAACATGAACATGGGCTTGGTGCTACTTGGGAAGATTAGGCCCATAAGCTTCACTGGGGTAGTATCAATGGACAATTTAGCCTTATCCATTACTGACAATACTGTCTGTCGGTGTACAGGCGAAGCCATGAGGATGACCTAAATGGATATATCAACTTGGATTTTCTTGAGTTGCTTCAGAACCAGCTCCTTTTCCAGCTTCTTTTCCTTCTCTTTCTTAAACTCTTGGTCTTTTCTTGATGGTTCTGCCTGATCCAAGTGTGGAGGTTTGAAATACCGTCCACTTCTGGTGAAATGGTCTATTTCTTTAGAATACCATGTACTGTCTGGGATGTGATCTCCCCAATCTTCATCGGTATGGGCAAGATGTAGATCACTATCTTCCTACCACTCACCATCAGCTGCTGACAAACAGTTGTTTGGCTCAACTTGGATCACCCTTACAGTACAAGTGTCCCCCTCAGGGCAACAAGCTGTTGCGGTTTTCTAGCTGTCTTCCATTCTCTCTCTTTCAAACTGCCTTATCACAGCCTCCTGTTCAATATCTGTAGTTTCCACAACACCCAATTCTTGGGTTATTTTTCCCACACAAGTATCCTCTGGTAGTTTCCTCTTCTCCTTAGCCTTCTCGGCTACCACAGTTATCCCGACTTGCTTTCCCTCCAGTTTAACTCCAGTTTCTTTTTTCTTGTCAGTTTCATCACTCAGCCATCCAGTATTATCGGTTGACCTATTCAAATCAAACCAACCGATCTTTACATTGCCTTGATCATGTTCATTGAAGAATTGTAGGTTGTCCAAATCTTCTTCAAGATTCGCAAGGTCATCCAACCCGTTGCTTGGGCCATCTTCTCGAACCACATTAATGTCAACTGAGGTTGGCATTACTACCTTAGGCTTGGGTTGAGTAGCATGAACAATGTAATGGCTCGGGTCATACTCCCCTTCAAATAAGTCCCCGAGACATTCTGATGACAGACTAGTACCTCCCTATGAGGTCAACACCTCCTTTGTTGCAGGCATTGTCACCACTGATTTGTGAGGCTCAGGTTCTAGGGGTTTTAGATGCCCCTTCTTGATTAGCACCTGCATGGCTTTGGATAGGGACATGTAGAGCTGGTTGAAAGTCCTACCCAGAGGTCGGGTAGGGTTAGAAGTTTGTGGCCCATGTTGGCAAAGGGGTTGGCAGTTTTGGTTATGGTGACAACACACACTCCTGATGGCCTCGCAGCTGTGCTACCCCTAGCAGCATTGGAATTACGAACAAACAGAGTGTCTAATCAGTACGGTTATGGGATAGGTGTGTTGCTGATAGCACCTCGATGATTCCTATATGCCCCTAGCCTTCAAACTCTTGTTCAAAGTGTCCAACAACGAAACAGAATACGAGGCATGTGTTGCTGGTTTGCAAGATGCTCTAGAACTAAGGGCAATAAGGTTGGATGTCATCGGAGACTCGAACTTGGTTGTTTCTCAGGCTAACGGAGACTGGAAAGTCAAAGAGGAGAAAATGAAGGTTTATCATTAGACCCTGGATAATCTGATTTTGAGATCTGAAAAGCTGACGTTCATACATCTTCTGAGGGAAAACATGTAATAACCCGACCCTCGTACATGATTCTGGTATATTTTCAGTCCCTAATTCTGCGCTTTTAAATGCTCATTATGAAATTTTATGTGGAATTAAGCTTAATTAAGTGAATCCTATGATTATGGATACATATCTGTCTAATAAGAGAACAATCTGTCACAATTATAATGTTTGAATCAGAAATGGAAGGCCTTAGAAGCTTAATACTCTGAAATTGATTTTACATTTGGGATCGGCATGATTTTTAAGTCTTAAAATGATTTTCTGTGAAATTTTGATTCGGAATGATTAAACTGATTGATTTTCGTCTTATTCACCTTATACGTAAATATCAATGCTCTTTAACCATTTGACTTGGGAAATTCATTCCAAAATATCTCCTGGGAGAGAAAAGAGAGAGTGTGGAGAAGAAGAATTAGGGGAGAAGAAATTGAACAAGGAAGATTTGGCAAATTGAGGAGAGTTGTGGGATTTAATTCAAGGCAAGCTCAATCCAACCTAATTAACCTTCACTTGGACTTGAGGAAGGGTTTGTTTCATGTTTTTACAACTTGGGGTTTGTAATTGAGGATTTTGAGTGATTCATGCTTGATTGGAAATTGTTCTCATCATTTGGTTGCTTTGAGACTTAATTTAAGTGTTGTGTTGGAATTACCCTTTACTCTTTGGTTTTCAAGCCAAACTCATATAATTATACATATGTATTGTATATATTTTGCGAAGACAAGGAAATTGGATTTTGTAGATGAAATTAGGAAGGATTGTGGACTAATTAAGCTTCTAATCATGTCTATTTGTGATATTATAATTGTGATTCATGTTATGAAGATGTTGGGTTAACATATTGAATTACTCATCTTTATTTTGTACTTAGAATATGTTGGTTATGCTGGATTTTGGGCTAATTTCGGACTGCCCAAAACAGGGGCCACGACCGCACGTGCGGAGGTCATGGTCGCACGTGCGGACAAGAGGGAAAAATGGGAATTACATTATGCTTTTGGCCGCTCGTACGGGGAAGGGGGACCGCACGTGCGACCCATGTCCGCTCATGCGGAGGGGACTGTCGCACGTGCAGCCCAGACCAAAAAAAAATTATCTGCTCCGTTTTGCATGCTCGACCTTCTGATATTTTTAAAATAATTTTTTGATGATCTTAGGATGGTTGTAAATTCATTCGAAGCATAATGACTCAGAAAATGATTTAACAAGAAAAAGGAAATTAATTTGTGACTTTGTATGTGTGTAGGACACGCGTCGGGAGGAACTAGCGCTCTGCCATAACACTGTGAGTAGTAGTACTGTAGTGGTACACCATACTTATCGCTAATGATTACCATTAGCATTCTGTTATCACATATCAATTATGTTAACTTATAAGAATGATTGAAGGAATTTGAATACTTTCATATGACTCTGGAACTCTGTACAACTCTGAAACTAGTCTGCTCTAATGATATCTGGGCCTATGGCCAATCTGTGAAATCTGTCAGGCTTATGGCCATTCTGTATAATCTGTTAGACCCACTGATTTCTGGTATGAAACAAAGTTCTATACGGAACTAAGTGCTACAGTGTGAGTCACCTCTAGAATCCGTATGAGACACCTCTTGGGTTCATACATGCATGAATTGGGCCTGAGGCCGTTCTGCATTCTGGGCTTAAAGCCCATCTGTATATCTCTAGGCTTAAAGCCACTCTGTTTGAAGACTGGGCCCAAGGCCACTCTGAAATTAGTACAGAATCAGATTAACCATATGATCTCTGCATTTATATACGCTTTGATGTATATTATAATTTAAGTTGAACATTGAATTGTTTATGTACTATTATTCACTGAGCCTGGCTCACTCTGTGTTATGTCCGCTTTTGTAGGTACCCAACCGGGAGGTCAGTCCTAACCCATGATGCCCGTTCTCTTTTGTCAACCTCTGTGTGTCCTGGCACTAGATGAAGCCACTTATTTTTGTGGAGTTTTGTTAAGCTGTTGGCTTGTACTCTAATTGTCTGTCTAAGGTTGATTGTACATATCTCCCCTAACCTCCAATGTTTTTGTTATACGCCCAGTCATGGGGCTAGGTCTGTATATTTGTATGTGTATAACCGATGCACAAGTGTATGTTTACTGTATATTATTCACCTGTTGCGATGTTTGTGATCCTGGCATGTTAGTGGTAGCTCAATGGATATTATTTTATGATATTTAATACTTCCATTCAGGCCCCATATGTTGTATATATCGAGTTAAGTGTCCGTTTCTGAATGGGTCATGCCCAAACTTTTAGGGGCGAGTTTGAGGCATGACAAGTGGTATCAGAGCACGAGTTGCTATCTCACACACGGATCCATTGAGCTTTAGGGTGTCTAGAAAAGACTTAGGCATCGTGCATGACATCCTGAAAGCATATGAAAAGATCGATGGCAACGTCAAATGTACTCTGCTAATGCTAACAATTTTGAACTATGTCTGTTGTATATAATTGATTGTCTTGTAGGATATGGTGAGAACAAGAATGGAAGACCCGGAAGATGCTACTTCTGCACGGTTGGACAGCAATAGCAACAACCTCAACCACAACCGCCGCCACTACCGGTACCTCCGCCTGCGGTTCAAGATTTTCAGGCTGAAGACCGAACCATTACACTCACAAAGGAGTTTAAAAAGATGAGGCCGCCATCATTCAATGGAGGAATAGAACCGATGAAAGCTAAAGCGTGGGTGTTGGAAATAGAAAAGTTGTTTGAAGTTTTTCCTTGTACCAAAGCCCAAAAAGTGCAACTGGCTACCTTCACTCTTGAGGACGAGGCACGGAGATGGTGGATGCTTACGAGAACTATACACCAAGGATTGACATGGGACAAGTTCTTGGAATTGTTTTATGATAAGTATTTTCCTCAAAGTATGCGAGATAAGAAGGTGGCTGAATTTGAAACTCTTAGACAAGGAAATAAAACCGTTGCAGAGTATGAAGCTCAATTTGCAGAATTAGCTCGGTTTGCACCTCATATGGTGGACACAGATTATAAGAAAGCACAAAAATTTGAAGGGGGATTACGGGGTGCTATCCTGGACCAGGTTAACATGTTAAAGTTACCCACTTATGTTGATGTGTTGGAGAGGGCTGTTATAGCTGAGGGAAACCTTGCTGCTCAGAATCGGATTTTCGAGTGGAAAGGAAAGAGGCAGAATATTCAATGGTCAAAGGGGTCAACTACTCCACCAAACAAGAAACAAAATTCAGGGACTTCAAATACTTCTACCCCTAGTCGGGATTCAATTCTTGTTTGTTCAGAATATGGAAAGAAGCATCGTTGAACGTGTTATCGGAAGTCTGGAGCCTATTTTAGGTGTGGCAAAACGGGTCATTTGATAAGGGATTACCCTTAGAGGAATCAACAAAATGGCAATAGGGCTGCTACCAGTTCAACAGGGTCTACACCAACTTCCAACACCAAGTCAGTTTCCAAACCTGCTAACAATAAAGACACTGCGAGACAAGGCACAGTATTTGCATTGGTTCCGGGAGATGTGCAGAATGCGGCAATAGTGGTGTCAGGTACATTTATTGTTCACGGTCACTCTACTCATGTATTGTTTGATTCTGGCTCTACCCATTCCTTTGTGTCAAAATTATTTGCGCAAAATTTAGATAAGTTTGAGGAAAAATTGTCTTATATGTTATGTGTGTCTTCACCTTTGGGAGACTCTAGAGGAAAAATTGTCTTATATGTTATGTGTGTCTTCACCTTTGGGAGACTCTATGATCTGTGCTTCTGTATATTTTGCTTGTGAACTCCAACTTGGGGATATCCGGATATATGCCAATCTGTTACCTCTCGACATGAGTTATTTTGATGTTATTCTGGGAATGGACTAGTTGAGTGAATATGGTGCAACTATAGACTGCTTGACTAAGCAAATCAGTTTCCACCCTCCGGGACAATCAGAGTCTATTTTTCAGGGGCAGGGAGTGACTTCTCCACCTTATTTGATTTCAGCAGCAAAGGCTTGTAAATTAATTCAGAAAGGGTGTTAGAGGTATTTATGCAGTGTTTTGAAGGGGCAAGTGATGAATGGGGATACTGACATGATTCCAGTTGTCCATGAATTTCTAGATGTCTTTCCAGAAGAATTACCAGGGCAGTTAATAGACTGTGAAATTGAGTTTACAATTGAAGTAGCGCCGGGAACTCAACCCATTTTTAAGACTCCGTGTAGAATGTCACCAGCTGAAATGAAGGAATTAAAGGTTCAGTTGCAAGATTTACTTGATAAGGGGTTCATCCGCCCGAGTGTGTCTCCTTGGGGTGCACCAGTTCAGTTTGTGAAAAAGAAGGATGGAACACTCCGACTTTGTATCGATTACAGGGAACTCAATAAGGTGACGATCAAGAATAAGTATCCACTACCGCAGATTGATGATTTATTTGACCAGCTACAAGGGGCACAAGTCTTTTCGAAGATTAATTTACGATCCGGATACCACCAATTGAAGGTCAAAGCTGATGATGTTGAGAAGACAGCTTTTCGAACCTGATATGGCCATTACGAATTTCTGGTTATGCCTTTTGGAGTTACTAACGCACCAACAGCGTTTATGGATTTGATGAATCGTGTTTTCAAACCCTATTTGGATGAGTTTGTAGTGGTTTTTATTGATGATATCCTTATATACTCAAAGAGTGCAGAGGCTCATGAGAATCATCTTCGTACAATCCTTCAAACACTTCGAGAGAAGAAATTGTATGCAAAGCTGAAGAAATGTGAATTCTGGCTACAAGAGGTGGCATTTCTGGGGCATGTTATAACAAAGGAAGGAGTCTCTGTTGATCCATACAAAATTGAGGTGATCGTGAATTGGCCAACTCCTACCAATGTGATTGAGGTGCATAGTTTAATGGGATTAGCCGGATATTACAGGAGGTTTGTTCAAGATTTCTCCAAAATCGCAGTACCGCTTACACAATTGACTCAAAAGGGAGTTGCGTTTGAATGGTCAGAACAGCGGGAATCTGCCTTCTAGGAATTGAAAACGAAGTTAACTACAGCCCCAGCCCTTGCCTTACCATCTGGTAATGAAGGATTTATGATCTACAGTGATGCTTCTCATAAAGGACTTGGTTGTGTGTTTATGCAAAACGGAAAGGTTATTGCTTATGCCTCTCGACAGCTTAAACCCGATGAGAAGAATTATCCCACGCATGATCTTGAGCTAGCAGTAGTAGTTTTTTCTTTGAAGATATGGAGACACTATCTGTATGGCACTACTTGCGAAGTCTACACCGACCATAAAAGTCTCAAATACCTTTTCACCCAAAAGGAGTTGAATATGCGACAGCGACAGTGGTTGGAACTTATCAAAGACTATGATTTGCAGATCCATTACCATCCTGGTAAAGCCAACATGGTTGTAGACGCGCATAGTCGAAAGAATGTGGGAAATTTGGAAAATTTGTTTACGGAGCAAAAGGAGTTAGTGATTGAATTGGATAAAATGAAGGAAGATTTTGTGGTGCATGAACAGGAGGCCATAGTGGCAGCAGTGATGGCCCAGCCGACCTTACTCGAAGAGATCAAACTACGTCAAATGGAAGATGACACTCTAAGGAAGATATGTAATGAGATGGAAACAAAACTAAAACCGGAATTCAGTTTGATGAACTCGGTACTCAAATTTCAAAACCGAATATGTGTCCCCAATGTGTCGGAACTTAAACGAAAATTAATGGAAGAAGCACATGCCTCGAAATTTTCACTGCATCCGGGGAGTACTAAAATGTACCAAGATTTGAAACAAAACTTTTGGTGGCCAAGTATGAAAAAAGAGATCGCGGAGTTCGTCTCTAAGTGTTTACAATGTCAGCAGGTAAAAGCGGAGCATCAGAGACTAGCAGGCTTATTGTAACCCCTTTCAATCCCAGAATAGAAATGGGAACATCTGACCATGGATTTTGTTGTAGGGTTACCACGGACTCCTCGGGGTATGAATTCTGTATGGGTCATTGTAGACCGGTTAACCAAGTCCGCCCATTTCCTACCTGTGAAGATTCAGTACAATGCGGATAAACTTGCGGTAATTTATGTGAACGAAATAGTGAGACTTCACGGTGTTCCAGTTTCAATAGTATCAGATAGAGATCCAAAGTTTGTATCTAGATTCTGGCAGAGTCTGCAGGAAGTGATGGGTACAGAATTAAAGTTCAGCACAACTTTCCACCCTCAGACTGGCGGTCAATCTGAGAGAACAATACAGACTCTAGAGGATATGCTCCGAATGTGTGTGCTGGATTTTCAAGAAAGTTGGGAAACCCATCTACCGTTGGTAGAGTTTCCATACAACAATAGTTACCATTCGAGTATTGAAATGGCACCCTATGAGGCTCTGTATGGAAGACCGTGTCGTTCCCCCACGTGTTGGGCCGAAATTGGAGATAGATCATTGCTAGGGCCCGAAATTGTTCAGTTGACGACTGGAAGTTAAAATTATTCGAGAAAGATTGAAAACTGCTCAAAGTAGGCAGAAGAGTTATGCGGATAACCGACGAAGGAATTTGGAATTTAAAGTAGATAATCATGTTTTTGTGAAAGTCACTCCGATGAAAGGACATTCAAGATTTGGGAAAAAGGGTAAGTTAACACCTCGATATGTTGGTCCATTTCCAATTTTGGAAAGAGTAGGTCCGGTAGCTTATCGAGTTGCCCTTCCACCAAGCATGAGTCAAGTACATAACGTATTCCATGTCTCTATGCTTCGAGGATATCTTTCGGATCCGTCTCATGTCATAGATTACCACCAAATTGAGTTGGATGACAAGTTAACTTATGAGGAAAAACCAATTCGAATTCTGAACCGACAAGTGAAACAGTTACGAAACCGAGAAATTCCAATGGTAAAAGTTGAGTGGCAAGAACATTACAGAACCAAAGCAACTTGGGAAAAAGAGGAGGAAATGCAACACCAATATCCGCATCTGTTTCTTCCCTTAGGTAAAATAAGTTTGAGGGACAAAACTTATTTAAGGGGGGGGGGAGTGTAATAACCCGACTCTCGTACATGATTCTGGTATATTTTCAGTCCTTAATTCTGCGCTTTTAAATGCTCCTTGTGAAATTTTATGTGGAATTAAGCTTAATTAAGTGAAACCTATGATTATGTATACATATCTGTCCAATAAGAGAACAATCTGTCACAATTATAATGTTTGAATAAGAAATTGGAGGCCTTAGAAGCTTAACAATCTGAAATTGATTTTACATTTGAGATCGACATGATTTTTAAGTATTAAAATGATTTTTTGTGAAATTTTGATTAGGAATGATTAAACTGATTGATTTTTGTCTTATTCACCTTATATGTAAATGTCAATGCTCTTTAACCATTTCACTTGGGAAATTCATTCCAAAATATCTCCTGGGAGAGAAAAGAGAGAGTGTGGAGAAGAAGAATTAGGGGAGAAAAAATTCAACAAGGAAGATTGGCAAATTGAGGAGAGTTGTGGGATTTAATTCAAGGTAAGCTTAATCCAACCTAATTAACCTTCACTTGGATTTGAGGAAGGGTTTGTTTCATGTTTTTACAACTTGGGGTTTGTAATTGAGGATTTTGAGTGATTCATGCTTGATTGGAAATTGTTCTCATCATTTGGTTGCTTTGAGACTTAATTTAAGTGTTGTGTAGGAATTACCCTTTACTCTTTGGCTTTCATGCGAAACTCATATAATTATACATATGTATTGTATATATTTTGTGAAGACAAGGAAATTGGATTTTGTAGATGAAATTAGGAAGGATTGTGGACTAATTAAGCTTCTAATCATGTCTATTTGTGATATTTTAATTGTGATTCATGTTATGAAGATGTTGGGTTAACTTATTGAATTACTCATCCTTATTTTGTACTTAGAATATGTTGGTTTCGCTAGATTTTGGGTTAATTGCGGATTGCCCAAAACAGGGGCCACGGCCGCACGTGCGGAGGTCATGGCCGCACGTGCGGACAAGAGGGAAAAAATGGGAATTACATTCTGCATTTGGCCGCTCGTGCGGGGAATGGGGACCGCACGTGCGGCCCATGTCTGCTCGTGTGGTGGGGACTGCCGCACGTGCGGCCCATACCAAAAAAAAATTGTGATTCATGTTATGAAGATGTTGGGTTAACTTATTGAATTACTCATCCTTATTTTGTACTTAGAATATGTTGGTTCTGCTAGATTTTGGGTTAATTGCGGACTGCCCAAAACAGGGGCCACGACCGCACGTGCGGAGGTCATGGCCGCACGTGCAGACAAGAGGGAAAAAATGGGAATTACATTCTGCATTTGGCCGCTCGTGCGGGGAATGGGGACCGCACGTGCGGCCCATGTCTGCTCGTGTGGTGGGGACTGCCGCACGTGCGGCCCATACCAAAAAAAAATTATCTGGTCCTTTTTACATGCTCGACCCTCTGATATTTTTAAAATAATTTTTTGAGGATCTTAGGATGGTTGTAAATTCATTCGAAGTGTAATGACTCAAAAAATGATTTAACAAGAAAAAGGAAATTAGTTTGTGACGTTGTATGTGTGTAGGACACGCTTTAAGAGGAACTAGCACTCCGTCATAACACTGTGAGTAGTAGTACTGTAGTGGTACACCATACTTATCGCTAATGATTACCATTAGCATTCTGTTATCGCATATCAATTATGTTAACTTATAAGAATGATTGAAGGAGTGTGAATACTTTCATATGACTCCGGAACTCTGTACAACTCTAAAACTAGTCTGCTCTAATGATATCTGGGCCTATGGCCAATCTGTGAAATCTGTTAGGCCTATGGCCATTCAGTATAATCTGTTAGACCTATTGATTTCTGGTATGAAACAAAGTGTTGTACGGAATTAAGTGCTACAGTGTGAGTCACCTCTAGAATCCGTATGAGACACCTCTTGGGTTCATACATGCATGAATTGGGCCCGAGGCCGTTCTGCATTCTGGGCTTAAAGCCAATCTGTATATCTTTGGGCTTAAAGCCACTCTGTTTGAAGACTGGGCCCAAGGCCGTTCTGAAATTAGTACAGAATCAGATTAACCATATGATCTCTGCATTTATATACGCTTTGATGTATATTATAATTTAAGTTGAACATTGAATTGTTTATGTACTATTATTCACTGAGCCTGGCTCACTCTGTGTTATGTCCGCTTTTGTAGGTACCCAACCGGGAGGTCAGTCCTAACCCATGATGCCCGTTCTCTTTTGTCAACCTCTGTGTGTCCAGGCACTAGATGAAGCCGCCTATTTTTGTGGAGTTTTGTTAAGCTGTTGGCTTGTACTCTAATTGTCTGTCTAAGGTTGATTGTACATATCTCCCCTAACCTCCAATGTTTTTGTTATACGCCCAGTCATGGGGCTGGGTCTGTATATTTGTATGTGTATAACCGATGCACAGATGTATGTTTACTGTATATTATTCACCTGTTGCGATGTTTGTGATCCTGGCATGTTAGTGGTAGCTCAATGGATATTATTTTATGATATTTAATGCTTCCGTTCAGGCCCTATATGTTGTGTATATCAAGTTAAGTGTCCGTTTCTAAATGGGTCATGCCCAAACTTTTAGGGGCGAGTTTGGGGCGTGACAAAACAATTGTTTTGCTAATGCGCTAGCAACTCTATCTTTCATGGTAGACATCTGTGTCCAATCATCATCGAACTGAAACATACGTCGACTTATGGAACCATCGCCACAATAGATGAGGTTCAAGACAAAAACCCTTGGTATTACGGCGTTTGAAATTTTTAGGAAAAGGATACGTATCCACTAGGGGTAAATGCTAAGGATAAATGGGGAATACGACGTCTGGCCGTCCAATTTATCATCTGCGAAAACAAGCTGTATAAGCGAGGTCATCTGGGAATTCACAAGCTCTGTGTTGAAGAAGAAGAATTGAAGCGTCTCATGGAGGCCATCCACGGATGAGAATGTAGAGCACACATAAATGGTGTGATGCTAGCCCGGAAGAACCTCATATAAGGCTATTGTTGGTCAACTATGGAGAAAGATTGTATTGGTTTTGTATGACGATGCCACAAATGTCAAATCCATGCCAATTGCATGAACATCCCACTGTCAAAGCTTTACATCATGACTTTGCCATGGCCTTTCTTGGTCTGGGAAATCGACGTTATGGGTGTAGTCTCGCCAAAGGGGTCAAATGGACACGAGTTCATCTTGGTGTCGATTGATTATTTTACGAAGTGGGTGGAAGCTCAGTCTTATGTTGTGTTGAAAACGTTGCATGTAGCCAAGTTTATCAGAAATAACATCATCTGCCGATACGGGGTTCCGAACGAGATCATATTAGATAATGGCTCTGTCACGACCCAAACTTGCCCCTAAAAGTTTGGACATGACCGGCCTGACTTGAGGCCTTAACTTAGTTATTTTAAACGATATTTAATCTTGGGGCCTGGACGGAAGCAAAATAACAGAAGAATAAACATTCATTGAGCTGTGTCTAGATACCAGGATCATGTTGCTTTACTGTATATGCATAACGTTTCATGCCATTCACATTACAGAATACAAAAGGGAAACCAGCCCAAAATGTTTAGTGTTGACGACATTTACATACACATCTAATTTTTCCCTTTACAACAAAACATGCCGTCACAGGGTTTTTCAAAATAGAACAAAGAGTCATCTTGGTGACTCAACAAAACGGGTTCAGCTACATGCTTCTGGGCTGACCTAGGGTTGATCCGCAAGCTGGTTACCTACAAAATGTTCAGGAAAGTAGAGTGAGCAAAACTCAGTGAATGATAGTAGTACAATAAATTAAAAGCACGAGCATGAATTAATAGTGCATATTTTCAATTCGTACACACAAGACAGAATGGCCTCAGGCCTATCAAAATACAAAATGGCCTCAGGCCAATCAAAATATAGAATGACCTCAAGCCCATCATGTTAAAAAAATGACCTTGGGCCCACCGTATTAGCAAGCAGAATGACCTCCGGTACATATCTCACATATTCAATTTTATACATGTTTCAGATATATTACATATCATACAGGGTACTCACAGAAGTGAATAAGATCTTGTATCATATATACCAACACAAACGTGAACAGAGTATAACACTACGCTACTATCACTCACAGTGGTGTGGGTACGCTGGTTCCCTTCTGCGAATGCCCTACACATAGCACATAAACCGTAAGTACAACATCATTTCCTAGTTTTCTTTCAATTCACATCATTTGATTCGTTATGTTTCATGTAATTAAATGCATTATAGGAACATCAAACAGACATAATAACACGTTTGGAGGGTCGAGGAGGGCGAAAGAAGGTTCCAGAATTTTCTAACTTGGGCCGCACATGAGAGAAGGTGCGCCGGATGTGCGGGCTGCACGTGCCTTTTTAGCAGAATACCCCCAACCTTATCCCTTGTTTTTTCGCATGTGTGGCTGTGAGCCCCGCACGTGCAGCTGTGCCTCCCGCAGGTATGGCCATGGGCTCCGCACATGCAGTCGGTTGCTCTGTTTGGCAGTTCGAGAACATAGTAAATTCAAGCCCCTTTTCAAGGCATTCTCAAGGTTTGGTTCAATCAATTACACTTCAACAACCTGTTATATAATCATAATAACCATGAATCTTAAACTCATATGAATTATAGCTCACTTAAACTTTCACATTACTTCATCTTTCTATAATGTGTTAAGAGGAAATACAATATAAAGGATTCAAAGTATGCGAAACTAGAGGGTTAGAAAGTGTACCCTCTCAAGCTACTCAAAACACACCCCAAATTCATGTATTCACCTTCTATGGCCCAATTTCAAGATTAGGTATGTAATCTCATAAATAAGTTAAGCTATGATAATATTCCATAACCCTAAAATTTATCACAAGGCTTGATTTTAAAGATAGAGATGGAGGATCAAGAGTAGTTTAGCCAATTCTCACATATCTTAGAAGCTAATCTTTACTTTTGTCCAACAATTGCTTCAATCTCTAAATCTTCCTCTTTCTCCCTCTATTCTCTTTTCTCTCTCTCTCTCTCTCTCTCTCTCTTAGGTGCTCTCCAAAATTTCCACTCAATGCATATATGAAGATGAGTTCAAAAAGGGACTTGTATAACACATGATAAGTCTTTGGCTTCAAGACTTGCCAAACGAGCCTTAGCGAATCAGACAAAAATAAATTTTCAATTAAACCTCCCAAGTAGCTTTAAAAATTCCTATTTGCATGTTCATGTACTCAATTTTGGTTTATCGCGCCCATACGGCCTTAAATTTCCTAATTAACATCTTAATTTTAATAGATGTATT